TCTAGTCCTTTTTGATTTGCTATAGTTTTGGCTAAAGGACTAGCAAATAGTCTAGATGCACCAGATGCTCCACTAGGAGGTGTTATTTGAATAGGTGGACTAGACGAAGGAGCAGATGGTGGTGGAGAGGCAGCTGGTGGTGCAGGAGATGGAGCAGAGGCAGCTTTAGGGGCTGATGGCATTACTGGTTCACCGGAATCTTTGAAATCAGCAAATGCAGCAACATCTGATTCATTCGATACAATTATACACAAAAGCTTTCCCAAAGGAACATCTTTAGTTCCAGCAGGTACTAAAATTTTAGCCAAATAGCCTTCCTCAGGTGTTTCAAATCCCATCGTTGCCTTATCTGTTTCAATTTCAGCAAGGAGATCTCCCTCATTTAACTGGTCACCTTCCTTTTTTTCCCAAGATATAAGTGTTCCCATTTCCATGGTAGGTGAGAGAGCTGGCAGTGGTACACGATGATGAGGAGGCAGGCCATCTAAACGAAAGTCAAGTATAGATAAATCATTTTAAAAGAAATCAAAATTTTTAGATAACTAAAATAAATTTTAATACTTTTTTTCATTTTACCTAAATATAGTAAAAATTACACTTTATAACCTGGAAATGCAAAAATATAGTAGAGGAGCGCCAATTATCTGGGCCAATCAGGACCGAAGCCAATCCGAATAACAAAAATCGGGATATTTGGGCTACTCTAAAAAATGGCTATAAGAATGTTTTTCATCTTCCCTTCCACCTTGTTCTTCCCTCCACGCTTTCTCCAGGCTTAAGGTTGGCAATAGTAATAGTGCCTCTTATAGCATATAAGAAACAACTTGTCTAAAAGTTAAAATTTTTTACAAATTTTATTAGAAACCTGTTCCATTATTAAAAACTTGAGCCTCCCACATTGAAACTAAACAGAAAAAAATTTAAAGTTCTTTTCAAGATTACCAAGGTACAAAGGAAGCCAATTTTCGATCCCTTTCAGATATTCTAAAAATAAAACAAAGTTTTTGCAGAATTTTTCTTTTAGAACTTTGGGAAAACACGTGGTCTTTGAATGATTCAGATAACTCGACATTCTGGTAAATCAGCATTCGGATAATCAACACTCTACTGTATTAATTAAAATATAGTAGAAGGTATAGTTGAAAATTAATTATGTAATAATGATTTTATAATTGTAAAGGGAATCCTGCCTTTATGATCACTTTGTTTTTTTAACAATGAAGATTATTGCAATAAATTAAAAAATATTCATTTAAAA